AAGAGAATTTTTGTCCAAAAAATTTCCGTCCCGAGGATGCGTGCAGGCAAACCGGAGGCTGAACCACCACTGCCTCGCAAGGCTCTTCCATCATCTCCACTCTCTGAATGAAGTGAGAAAGAGCTCGTGGGCTGAGGGTTGCATACACAAAACGGGGTGATGCTAACAGGACTCCTCCTCTGTGAAAGAGGCATTACGGGGATGTTTAGGGAAGACTTTATTTCTCCCACCTGGCTAATTAAGAAAGTTTAATTTACTCCCTGCCTCAGTTTCCATCGCCTGGCGTTGGGTGCTGGGACCGGCTGAACGGAGCCTTGCGTTTATTACGCGCATTATTTTCAAAGCTTTCGCCACGTGACGCCAACGTGCACCTTCTCACGTCGCCACGAAGTTTAACGCGTGCCGGGCTGCCGCTCCAGCCACAGGCACTTCGGACCCGGCCACGCCGCTGCCCCGGCGAGCTCCACAACTCAACGCCCCGCACGACAGGAGAAAGCAGGCGAAATGTTATTCCTCATCTTCTAAACCGCAAGATCTGATGTGCAGGGATCAGAAAAACCCCGGGAAGATACAGAGCGCGGCAACACACCGACACTCCCCTGGAAGGATCACGCCGAGGCAAAGGAAAACTTTCTACCCTGCTCCTGTGCTTCGAGCGAACTCATATTTGTGTTTCCAGTGAAGAGACATTTTTACATTAACTGCTGAGAATAGCAAAACGAACCCAATCTTTACTTCGCAAAGAGGATGATATTGGCGTCACGTGCTTCCTTCTTCAAAAAATGTTATTTATAAAAGGCAACGGGGAAAGCCGAGAAACTACTGACTCTTCCCTGCATCCCCAGGGCGAGCTGCGTTACGGCAACTTTTTGATCCCCCACATTTTTCACATTTCCCCCCCCACCTTTTTTTTTCCCCCCGAGAAGTAAATTTCACAGCCGCACAGGCCACCGCCTTTAATTAAGCTTTCAAAAGTCTTCTGACAATGCCAACAATTGCAAGACACTTCTGGAGCTCAATCATGCAATCATCGTGACACTTCTATTTACAATTTGTCTTAGAAAGAGTTTCTCTGACATTGTACTTTGACAAAACAGCCAAGCTGCCGGTTCACAACCTTTCTCTGTCTTATTTACAAATACAGCTTGTACGCAGGGCTCCGAATCTCGGGAGCGGGAGCCTTCGGGCAGCACCCTCACTGTTCTTCCTGCCTGCGCCTGTTCCACCCAGCCTGTGCCCTCTGTTTCTTTGTACGGGGAAAGCAGGCGGAATTTGACTCCAAAATATTTCCCTATTCCTTCTTTTCCCCCTGTTTCCTCAGCTTTCCCCTTACTATCCAGATGCAACGCTAACTCCTCAATGCAGACATCAATAATTATTTGTCTCCGGAACAAAACAAAGTAATACGGAATCGCAATGTACAACCTACAGAATTCTAATGGCAACGACTAACAACAGCCCAGGAAAATTTCCGTGGTGTAATGACTGCTCCAAGACATCACCTCCCCAGAATTGCAATAATCAAATGTACTCGGTCCAAAATTTAGCATCGAATCATGTCCACCTTCCCTCGGTTACTGCAGGCAGAGGGTTGTTCTGACGTCGTTTTCCCACGTATTTTATTTGAATGCCACAAGCAGCTTGAGAATAAAGGATTCGAGCAGCAGAAATGACCTCCCCTCCTCCTCCCCTCTTTGTACAGTAAATACGGCATCCGCAGATACACGCTCGGCATTGTGAAGGGGAATACGCAGCGGCACTCCAAACTGTTCCTCCAACTGAATCCAAGTAACAGTTAAGATCCTTCCTCACACCCTTTCATTAATTCCCTCGGATTTATACATTCAACAAACAAACCGCTAAAACCTGACACCGGCGGACGATAAATACTCCTTCGGCCTTTTCAAGAAGCGAACAGCGATTCTGCATTCACTGATCTCCAGATACTTCAGTTAATATTTCCCCCTATTGTAAAATACGAGAGCGGATAACCAAAGCCCTGCCGTAGCACTCGCTGCAAATCACGGGCTGCCGGTATCTGCTGGTGAGGCTCTGACATACATATTGATGAAAGCTGCCTCATTGGACCCACACAACATATCCTATTAATTTCCAGTTAAATTTATGGCATTTCAGCTATAGCGCTGGATCAGCATCACTCAAGATTTCATAGCGAGTCAAAGGTAGGCGCGGGCAGACACCCCCACGGAAGGGACAGGTACGCATGCCTGCACCCATACGGGTATCGCAGCGACCGCACAGGTTGCACACGTGCACGTAAGCTCCTGGAATCATCCCCGTCTCTGGAAAACCGGGAGGATAAAGAGCAGCCTATCGACGGCTACAACAGACATCGTTTCTCCCTGCTCGCTGCCTCCTTCCTTGGCTTTAGATGAGCCAACCCTTAACCATTACTTCTCTTAAGATGATCTTTTACTGTAACGCACCAACTTACTGACTCCGGAACGGCATCCAGAGGTACCCCGTACCCCTCTGCACCCAGAGCTAAACCTCTAGCACTTCTTTCAACTGATTGGGGACGTTTTTACTTTGCTACTAAATGCTTTCCAGTCTCTTACCCGAAAGAATCAGATCCCTCAACTCCTGTGCATTTTTTTAAAGGCAGCCTCCGTCCCTTTTTTTACTCAATTACACGCTCAGATCTGTTTGCATTTTGCATCCTTGCACATAAATCAGATATAAAATACCAGAATTCGAAGAGCCCAAGGTTCACTGCAGGAGCCCTCCAGAAACCTCAACTCCACAGCTCAAAACCCTCAGTGGCAATTTTACTGCCAGACCCCACAAACTCCTGGCCACGGGTCACTCCAGCTATCGCTACGCTTCTCTGGGATACGAGGGAGCTAAACTCATCCAAGTGAAAGATGACAACACAAAGGGGAAGCACAGGGCAGGACCCTGTAACTCCCGTAACCCCGTAACTCCTTCCCCTGCTCCCACAGCCAGGCTCAGGAGCACCCACGGGAGCCCTCGGCTCCGTCCCGGACGGGGAGGTGCAGGAGAAGACCCGTGCTCTTGGATCTGCCATCCGCAGGCACCATCGCGCAGAGAACCAGGGCGGGAGATGCCCACACAACCGCAGCTCGCGGCCTGCACCGCGGACCCGGGCCTGGGCCTAGGCCTGCGCCCAGCCAGCCCCATGTGCACAGCGAAGGCCATGCCTATGTGCAAGAGCGAGCAGGACCCGGCACCTGCCAACGTGCACCTCTCCTACCCACTGCCCTCTGCTCACCGAACCGTCTCAAGTCAGCTAAAACCACAGCCCTTTCTGAATTAACGGGCCTGCGACACCATGCGAAGCCAAAGCCCGCTCGCTTCACGTCAACCCGCCTCACGCCAAGGTGCCGCTTGGCTCGCCGAACCTCCCACGCCCAGCGAGCGCCTGAGCAAAACCCTCCATGGAGGAGCTTCCCCTCGTGCAGAACTCGCCGGCGTGGCCGAGGGACCTATCTGGGACCACGGGAAGGACAGCGGGTTGAATTCACGCCTGACAAGACACTGTGTTTTGTCTTTCCAACAGCGCGGCGCCGTACGTAAATACAGCGTTACATCATACCACCGCTCCTCCATATTTGGTGATTTAGTATGGCTCCAGAGCTCGGAAGACTACAAATCCCTTCCGCCAGCCTCCCGCTTCATTAATCACGCCCTCCGCTTCTGCTCGTTTTCCGTCAGCTCGCAGGCAGCACACGGAAACGGGCACTGCCCTCTACCCCTCTAGGAAAAAAATACCCCCTTTAACACCTGTGCCTGGAAAGCGCAATATGGGTGCTATTGGGGTTTTTCAGCCTCACTCAAAATGTAGCCGAGCCTCTGCTTCCCCTTAAACGTAGGTATGTACAGGTGTACTCAAAGCAGTACCTCTGCAGAAACGGTACGTACCCAACCGCGTGACGTACGCACGTGCGCGCACACGGCTTTGCGTACGCAGAGGTGTGCGTGGGCCCATCGGTACGTATTTACTGCCACCGCCAAACCTCCAGAACTCCAGCGTGGTTCTCCGGCCGGTTTGGAGGCCAGGGGGGTTGCGGGAGCGTCACCTTGAACCTCCCGGCGCCGACCGCCCTATTATGGTTTAGCCGAGTGGCCAACGCAAGGCCAAGACAAGGCCCGGCACACGACGTGACCACGTACTGCGCCTCTGACAACCCCGAGCGGGCTCCCCAAAGAGGGGGCCAGCAGTGCCAATCCCGAAAACCGCTGGGAAAGGGGGTTTGACACCGATTCAGGCATTTGCCGGTGCCGCGGTCCCGCCTTTTTCGACCGGTAGCGTTGGCGCGGTTCGAAGCGATTCGCAGCGCGTGCTGCAAACGGGCAGTACTCTTGTTTACTAGCAGGATTTTAAAAGCAGAGCGTGCTTTGTTACGCTCCCAGGGCTCTGGGATTTTCTTTCACGTAGCACATTCAATTTTTTTTTAACCTAATTTCTGAAAATATCTGCACGGTGAATGGCTTCCCGGTTTAAGGCAAAAAAAAATATTTTTTTTTTATGCTAAGAAATGGAATTATTCACCCTTTTTTTTTTAAATTACATTTCGTATTGTTTGTTGCACAAAACAGAACTCTGCCTTGGACATTTGTACGGCTGACATGTGGTTGTGTAAACCGCAAACAAAATCAAGATACATCTGTCAAAACCACATCAGAGACAAGAGAGAGCACAGCGAAGCATTTATCATTTGGCTGAGGAGGCAGGCTGCAGAGAGCGGCCTTTCCTGTCAAACCAACCTTTTGAAATTTCCAACATGCCCTTAAACTTTTCGAATAAGCATGTCTGTGCGCTTCAGCAACTGCCCTCTCTACTCTGGCCTGGCCAGTCGAAAATGGCATCTTAAAGTCAAGGTCGGTGGTGTCACTTTGCCATGGGGCTGTGTTTAATTACAGTCCATACGCTGACAGCCAATATGGAACCAAGGCTGGCTGATGCTCGGTTAACTCTTTCACCCCTGACTTTGCCAGAGACTGGGAAGCTCCTCGCTTCATCGCGCGGCAGGCTCTGCAATCTCCTCCCGCGGCGCTAACGGCAGGCGCGACGCCGGGAGACGGCGACTACAATACAGGCGGACCACGAGAGCAGCCTCAAACAATACCGTCAGGAATACCGGCCGGCACGGCGCGTGCCTGTTGATCCTGCCTCTGCGCAGGCACCAGGCAACACCGGTCGCGCGCCGGCCGCCGACCGGAGGCAGGGCGTTTAGCACGTCGGCGAGCAGAACAGAGAGAACAGGCACGGCAGTTTGCAACTGCGGACACGCTGCGTTGCAAGCGAAACGGAAATAAACTCGCAAACGCTTCTCCTTGCTTTAATTTACCTGCTATGTGTTCCTGTTTAGGGCAAATTCCTCTAGATGACGTTGATAAACAATCGTCATCCTCTGGCGTAACCTGGATGCCAACCTCCACGGGATTGGATGCTTTTTTCAGCTCACTTGGTGAGGGTGAAGGTGGCTTATCCACAGCCTTCTCTAAGCAGAGACTGCCATTGCATTGTTTCCGTTTGTGCTCAATAAAAATAAGAATGTCCCCCAACGGGAAGTTCATCTGACACTGGCCACAAGTGAGGAGGTCGTGGTCCCCTTCCGGAGCTCCCAACGTGCCATGTTCAGGTTCGTCATCGGTGAGAATGGCTTCAAGAGGTTCGGCTGCAGTTGGAGAAACAAAAGGAGACTCGTTAGAGCTCTGGGGAGAGGGGGGGTAACGCACCGAGCCCCCTCTTCACGAATACGACACCCCGCTCACAACATCCGCCCGCTCCCCCTCCCCAACCGAACCCACGCAACGCGGCGGCTACGAGGGGAGACGAGGACGAGGTTGCGCGGAAGCAGCCGCAGCGCGGGGAACCCGGGGAGCCCGCACCAGGGCACGCTTCTGACCCAACCGAACGGTGCGGGGGCAAAGTTAAACGAACGGGCTGCCGAGAACACACGGCGAAACTCCGGCAGCGCTACGGAGGAAGGCGAACAGGGAGCGTTATGGCCGGGTGTATTATTGATGTACGTGAATTCAAGGCGACAAGCCCGGCGCGCGCTCTCTCACACACGCACGGGCGTGTGTTTTCCACCAGCCAGACCTACTTTCTGAAATTCAGACGCCTGAACGAGGCGGGCGCGGACAAGAGGTGTTTGAACGTACAGACGCTGCGCGTTCCCTACATGGGCCGTGCGTAAGGGAAAAGAGCCGGCACCGGGGGCTCGCGCGGCCCGTGGAACGCACATGCGCACGCGTGCGTGAGGTGCTGGTGTTAAAAAATCGGGCTGGTGTCCCCAGCCCTGCCAGCTCGTTTGCGGCTTCCCGTTTAAAAAAAAAAAAGAAAAACCACGAAAAGCCGGGAGTTATTTGTGGGGGAGGGAGGGGACAAGACAACTAAATAAATAAATAAGTGGCAGAAACCGGAATGATAAAAAGCCAAGTGCAGCAGAAATGCCTGCGGGGTGGGGGGAGGCATCTCTCACTTTTCAGCTACTCCTCAGGATTCAAATAAATATCAAATTCACCCCCGATTCCACCCAGAGATATTAGCCACATGGGCTATTTTTTAGCACTTGAGGAAACAGGGCAATTAGTCATTTTCTTTCTTCCTTTTTCACCCTGAAATAAAGGAATGCCTCAATTATCTTGAACGTGTCAGCACCGGTGGCCCTCAGCATCTCCAAATCGGTGTGGCCGAGCCGCCGCCACATTTCCTCACGACGGGGAGAAGTGCCTGCTTTAAACTCAAAATACCTTGCCTAATGTTGTCAAAGTTGACAAATTTTCTGAATGAGCTCCAAAAAGCTTCATTATGAGGCTGTTTCTGCTCACAGACTCCTCAGTGGATGCTCTAACGAGGGGGACGCAGCTCGCTCTCCTGTTTGCTTTTTCTCCCTTTTTGTTTTTGCCTAAGTTTGCAGAGAAAGACCTTGGCAATGTGCGTGCAGCCTCCGCTGCTCTCGCCTTTCACGAGACACAAAAAAATAAATACCGGCAGCGCGCTGGTACCCCTCTACCTGCGCAAGGTGAGACGCACGCCGACGGCAGCGAGCAGGAGGAGAGGGTACGGCAGACACAGCCCACCTCAAAACACTGCCAGGTAAGGCGAGAGAGAGGCAGAACACAACTCCTCAACAGTTAATCAGCCTGACCTTCTTTAGCTGGCTGCCAATTTCACGTTTAATGAACTTAAAGCCACAGAGAATCAAAAAATAGATTTTAATTTGACGGCACGATATTGGAACTGATTTTGATAAAGTGCAAAAATCCAGCGAACTCAGGTTAAATTTATTTCAACCCTACCTAGGCTGAATATTGAGGAGGAAGATCTGGAGTAGCTCCCAGTTGTGCTGCGTAAAATAATATTGAAAGAGCACGCTACCTCGCCGTACCTCAGCTCCAACTAGGACACAGGGATCCAGTCCATCCTTCCTCGCCTCTGGTGCTACTTCTAATTTAACGTGAGGTCAACCACAGGAGTATGAAGGTTACGTTCGTCTTAATAAAAACAATGTCTTGATCGCTGGGGTTTTCTCCTGAACGTACGGACCGACCGGGTAGGGACGCACCAACGTGCGTTCCACGCTCCTCGGGAAGCCGGGAGAGGAGCAGGGTGTTTCTGCGGGATTTGCCGGGGCACATGGCGTTTTTTCTCCCCGGGCCATCCCTTGTGTTCGGATCGAGGGAGTGAATTATCGCAGGGCTGATTCCACCGGTCGCTGGCTGCACGCCGCGAGACAAAGGTATTTTTGCAAATCTAACTTCCAGCTCCCCAACTCGCCGCAGCCCAAGACGGAAAAATAACCCGCGTGTTCCCCTTACAACCGGCTTAGCGAGGAGCTCTGCATAATCATTCCTCAATTATAATGTTTTCCCGCGGCCTGATTTCTCCCTGACGCTGTCAGTATTATTTAGCAGGGGAAGGTAACCCGCTGCTTCGACACCAGACAGTTAAAAGTAGCGCTAAACAAAAATAGACTTTGCTAAAAGTCTGCACCGACCGGGCTGATTTACAATCAAAACCAGGAAATGAAGTGGTAATTCAGAGGTTGCTGATTACACCTCCCCATTTCACCTAATTAATTTTATAGGAGACAAAGTTCTTGAAAATAACAAGATGATCAAATGTACAGATATAAAACCTGTAACCTCAACATTTTTCTGTGCTCTCAACGTAAATTATTGCTAATTAACAAGAATTATACACCAACGTACGAAACACGGCCGGCACCGTGCGCGCCGCCAAACATTTGGCTCCTGATGGAGGCAGAGCCAGCAAAAATCCCGTTTTATTATGACGGCTACTTTTTGAAACAAAAAAAAAAACCAGAAAATACCGGGCTGACGAGGAAAACGCCGAAATACAATTCACCTGGTTCCTGCCGGTGATTTGCAGGACGCAGCCTTTTAATTCTGGGGGCAATCAAAAAATTCCCTGCCTGGCTCCCTAATCATCCGTCCCTATTTTTCATGCAAATTGCCCTTTCTACTAACATCTCTTTTCAGTTTTCCCTCCCTGCGCATTCCTACTCTTCCCCGTCTTCCCCGTTCCTAGTCTCTCCCGGATGGATTTTGGAGTGTTGGGAGAAAGGAGGTACCGGGGGGGTGGTGATGGGGTTGGGGG